ATGTATATAGTAAATAAGCTTGTTTTATTAATAATGTTGTATAATAAAATTTGCTTCGTATGTTTGCTTTACACATTTAATTTCCACTTAAGTCATTTTGAGATTCCAAATCCACTTAAGTAGATTCAGAACAACTTAAGTTGATTCCGAATCCACAAATATCCCGTAACCACCTACAACATATATATATATATTGTACGTTTCTTCTAATTTAGATGCATAACTATACATTTAATTATCATTGTCTAATTTGAATAATACACCATATTGAGATACATAATAAATTTTAATATGTAATACAAACCATTCTAATATAAATACTAAATGCTTGCCCTAAAGAGCGTTTTTATAATATAGCCTTTTTCATTCTAGCTTTAATTTCATGCCACGCTTGAAAGTTGATTAAAACTCATATGACTATCATCTTTATTCATCACTGCTGGTTTACTTTAATCTCTAACATGTGTAATATTGAAGAAATCTACATATCACCATCACTACATTAGATTTTATATTATAAAATAGTTTAATCTTATCTGTCATTAAATGACGCGTTTAACATCTAGTAACAAGCTGTTATAATTAATCTTTCAGAAATCCGTTCCTTGTTTTGTACAATTGCGTTGCACAGTTACCTTATTCTAAAATATCATATGATATGTTAAATTTCCTCGTCTAGTCATTGTTTTAAATATAAAAACTATTTATGCTTTTTAAATTTGTGATATTTGTTTCACCCCATATTATCGATTTATGTATTATATGCTGATCGGCAAAATGTGCATTTTGCCCATCTCTAGGCCTACCGAATAATTGAATGTAGGGGCAATTAATTGCAATATTTCAAGTACAATTAATTGATTGGTGACGCAATCACAATTGGTCAATTAATTGTGAATTAGATAATATTGTATATTCACTACGGTATGATTTTTGGTATTACAATAATATGTATAGTATAGGTGGTCAAAGAAGTATAGTATAGCGTGGTATATATTATGTAAAATATAAATTTAAAAACTATACAATGTGTAATAAAACTTATAAAAAAATTATATATTTAGTATATTTGCATAATAAAAATTTATATATTTAGTATATTGTATATTAAAAATTTATACATTTAGTATAGTGTATAAGTTAAAGCAGAACCCAATTGACCAGTTTAGACCATTTTTTGATTCAGAATAAAATTTTTTTGGTTCTTGGTTTGAACTAGTTTAAACTAGTTCTAATCAAAATCTTAGCTAATTAAAATCAAATTTTCCACTTTATAATTTTTGATTATTGTTTTCAAGATTTATAAGCTTTTTAAAAATATGCATAATTATACTATAGTAATCAAATTTGATACATATATAAACAATGAAATAACAAATTTTTCAAAGCACATTTAGTAGTTTTATTTACTTTTATTAAAAATTAACAAATATGCAAATTGCATTTAAAATTTGCATCATTGAAGCTAATTATTGCAATAGTATAAATTTAACTTTCATATTTGAATTCTTCTGCAATACCCAATTTATATGCTTTTTCATAATTTTTTAGTTTTTTTTCATAAAGTTTTTTTTTCTTTTTTTCAAGCTCTAATTGCCATTCTTCTAAAGCAATTTGACATTCTAATTGTGATAATGCATCTTCTTTATTAATAACAAATTTATCATGCTTGTTCTTATTTGTTAATTGTTTTTTAGATGATATCTTTTTATCTATAAAGTTTAAATATATAAATAAATATTTATTAAATGAATTGACTATTATAATTTAAATTTAAAATTTATTTACTATGTCATTTTATTGATAGTGTAGCTTTAGCTATAGGTTCATTATTTCTTCTAGTTTTAGTTACTCCATATTTATCTTGAACCATACAAGTTATAAATTTTTGATTATCAAATCTTTGTGCTCTTCTTTAACTGTCAAATTTTTGTTTAATTGTGCTAAGTACTAGTTTAAAATTTAACAAGTACTTGGTAATCTATTTTTTTATTTATTATCTTATCACTCCCTGCAGTTTCATCAGTTTTTTCACCTCTCATCAGTTTTATTTTTAAGATTTTAATTGATAAAAATGAAACTAGATTTTGCATTTTGTTAGAAAAAAATCTTCATGTTTCATTTAGCAGCTATTGTAATATAAACACCTTCTAATTAATAAATCATATTTCAAATTATCTGGTTTATAATAAATGTATAAATCTGTCTGTATTAAAAGTGTAAGAATCTACTTTCTCTTATTCAGAATATTAGGCATTTTTAGAATTTTGAGTAGTTATTTGAATTTAATAATATATCTTTATTTAACTATTTTACTATAAATACCTATTAATTAACAAATTATATTTCAAATTATCTGTTTTAGAATAAAATTATAAATTTTATAAAAACTTATTTCCCTTATCAGAATGTTAGATATCATATATTCAAGACTTTAGAGCTCATAATTAAATTCAATAATTTATTCTAATTTTTATCTTTCATTATACTAAATTAACAAATTATATTTTAAGCTGTCTGGTTTAAAATAAAATAAAATTTAGTCTATATAAAAATTTACTTTTATCTAAAATATTAACAACTTCAAATTTCAGATAGCCACAATTGATTTTTAACTTTTACTATTTATTGTATCATAGTATCTACAACTTTAGATTTACAAAAAACTTAAGATGCTATACACTAATTATATATTTTAAACTATTGTAGTTTAAAGTAAAATTTATACTTATTATATAATTATTTAACTAAGATATAAGTTAGTAAAAAGTTTATTTAATTGACAACAGATTAGTAATAAAAATATCATAAAGATAAATAGAAAAGTACTATAAAGCACTTATTATATATTATAAAAGGTTTTTCTTAGACATATCTGTAATATGTACAATTTTTTTAAAATTTTATTTTTTAAATCTTTATACCAAATTTTTTAATAAAAATTTATGTTTCAACTTCCATCTTTAATAGGTTATTTTCTAAGCTGTGAAGCTTTTATTCAACATGCCCAAATATATATACTAATAATAAATATGCTATAAGTATAAAAAAATTATTACAAAATAAGTTTATCTATTTATATTGTGATAGAGATAGCATTTACAGAAACAAATTAAATCTTACAAATAGAACTTGTCAAAGAACTACAAGTTTATAACTAATAAATTAACCTTTTTAAATTATTTAGCAAAAAAGAAAATAAGCAATAGCATTTGATAATAAATAATGCAGAACATAATTATAAAACACTAGAAAATATTTTAGATTACCTATCAAGTCATCAATTAACTAAAGAAGAACAACAAAGTGTTTAACAAATATCTACTGCATGTATATACTCTCAAAAAATACTTTCTACTTTTCATCAAAATAATCTAAATATCAAAGCTATTGTCAAAATTATTATAATGCTTAAGATAAGATTAGATGTAATAATTTTTAATGTTACAAACCAATTCAAGCTCTTTTTGATAAATTGAGAAATAAAAATTTTTAGTACGATTATCAATATAATGAAAATAGGCATTTAACTCTTCTTTTTTTGCATATTCTGTTTTAATTACACTTATAATTTTGTTCTTTTAATAAACTGTACTTACAAAACAAATAAATTATATTTATTATAAATATATAATTACTGATTGCTTTTCATTATATTTAATTAATAATTTTTTTTATTTTTTACTAAATTCAGTTTCTATT